AAGTGATCTCATTTTGTTGTTGTCAAGCTATATTTTGCAGTAATTTAATAGTTATGATTGTAACGAGTTTTAACCACCCGACAAGATAAAAATATATTATGATTAACTACTCAAAAAGATTGGCAGTACTGAAATGAGTGTATGAGCAAATTTTTAGCTGAAATAAAATATTTGCTAAATTGACAAGCCACTGAGTTATAATGAAAGGGTTGTACCAACAAAAAATTAGGGAAAAATGCGCCTTCTTAGTGGGCGCTATATCTTGGCTCCCATAATTCATGGCCACTCCACAAAATAATGAGAGAATTGGATAGGCTTATATAAACCTAATGCCTTCATGAATTAGGCTTATATGAACCTGACATAACTTGTATATACCTTCCATAGTGGACTAAAAAATATGAGGTTGCAGCCAAAGTGGTGGCAACATCGGTCACCAAGAGCTTATTGCACAAACAGTTCAACTTAATTGCCAATACAATCGCAAATATAAATCGTTTGTAGGCTTGTAGCCCACATCCACTAAATTCCAATAGCATATAACCTGAAATCTAAAATAAGTATCTTAAATTCCTTATCATCATCAAATACCATCTACAAATATAAAATCAAAATGAGCAAATAAATTAAAATTAATTAACATAGGAATTGACTAACAATATACAAAATAATTCCGTTTAATAATAAGCATGCAAAAAAAATAGATATTTACAAGAGTCCGAAGACCTTGTAGGAGTCACGATCAAGGAGGAGCATGCGAAGGGAATGTCTCTGAAGATCAAAAGAGAGGCCAACAAGAGGAAGATCAATGATGACTAAATAGAAAAGGAGAAAATGAAATGGAAAAAGATTGATCAAGAGGTAGATAGAGGAAAGAGGAGGAGACCTGGCATGGAGAGGAAAAACGGACAAAAAAATGTCAAAAATGAAGGAGTAGATGCTAAGGAAAGAAAGGGAAGAGATTGAAAATGGAGAAGCACAAAGATAAATGGGTGGTAAAAAACGAAGGAAGAAAAGAACATTGAAGCTAAGAGTTACAAGAAGTTAATGCAATGGGTTGGTTTTATTGCAATTCTGAGACCAAAATTGTGGTAGCAAAATATTAACCCTTGAGATTGAGCTCAACACCCAATTTCAAAAAAAAATCAATGATGTACGCTATTCCCATAGTGCATCATAGTTCATACTATAGATTAAAATAACATAAAATTTTTAAGCATAATTTACAGTATTTTTTAAGCTTCATTTCCTCATGTAACAGTTGGGGTGCTAACTTTAGACTAGCCACAATAATTTAGTATAAATTTAACTAAAAAATTTGGGCCTGGGTTGATATGTATATCATTAAGTTTGGTTCCAGTTCAACTCTAGATAAACTAGATAAAATATTTTCCTTACTAGATTGGGTTGCATGATGACCTAAACTAAACTGTAGGCTACTAAACTAACTACAAGCAATAAAACTATAGATTTTATTGGCATCGTTGTCTCATCTTTGCACTTACAAGTTGACAAGTCCACATACTTGACTCATATCATTTACACTCGTCAATTTTTAATTGATCAACCAACTCGAAATGAGTCATCAATCATCGCTTCATCCTCCCATTTTCTTTTTCAACTATTCGTTGTTGCAAGGAAGATTCAACATTGAGCTTCTTCTATGATTTCCGATTCTTAGTTACAGTGCCTCCAATAGCCAAATTTTTTTTCTCTTTATTTTAAATGAGGAAAAATCATTGATAACTGAGTTTTTGAACATCTCATATTTTGGCAACTGGTATAATAAATGGGTGAACATAATGTATGTAGGTTTGGCCCAAGCATGCTATGGGTCCAGGAGTTTGACTCATATAACATGGATTGGCCTAAATTTAAACCAGTCGGGTAGGATCGATTTTGAGCCAAAGCCAAACTCAACTAATGGACCTAGTTTGGTTGAAATGATGGATACATTTACAATCCTTTTTATAGTCTAAACCCTATCACAATTCATTATATTAACCATCATTATATAATAGAAATTACCATACAAAATTATTATAATATTAGTTTATGTTTAAGATATGATATACATTAAATAAGTCTTATATAATTAGCATGCAAAAATTAATTGGTTGTATATATGATTGTCATTCATACATATGATTCAATCATATGTACAATCCTAAAAGACAAATGTATAACCAATCAATATAAAGCTCAAACTTTTGTCCTATAGCAAAATAATTTTAAATATTTTTTTTTTTTCATACGAGAGTTTAAAAAACATGATAGAGTTTGAAAAATATTATGAAATATTACAAATTTACTTGAATAATTCACATGAAATAATTTGTGAAGTCTATATTAAATGTTATGTTCATTATGATTTTATTAATGACTAATAAAGAATTAAACTCATTTTTGATGTTTATGAACTTCCCAAAAATTTAAATTAACTTCCTATCAGATATCAAAGTTCATAACCAATAATTCCAAACCACAATAATATGTGAAATATAACTATAAATGTTTAATGAATTTTAATTTTTTTCAAAATGGATTACTTGCTCATTTTCTATTATGCACATGAAATTTTATGCAATAATCATCTAGAAATGTTATATGTTAATGATGTTATAGCTAAGTCATTATGAATAGTTGTGGCATTATTTTGACAGCAAAAGAAAGATAAAATGACAATGAATACATGTAGCAATAGTTAGATAAGTTGTCTCCTTCGATGTTTAGGATATTAGAATATGTTAAGTAATAAGAAAAAAATTAAATTCATAAACTAATAGTAACTTGAAGAAATGCTCAATTAAAATAAAGAGTTGATCTTATACATACATATCTATTATATCAAATAAGAGTTAATACGTTAATTATTATGGAAAAATTATCATGCCAATGGATCTGGTGGGATAAAAGAGAAAAAGCAATGTTGTATGATATGGTAGTAGGGAAGATAAAATTACTATGCTACAATCAGATAGGTTAAAAAATAATAGGTCATGATGTTATGTGATATGATGATGTCAGTAAAAAATAATAAAAAAATTTAAAGTTCAAACTATGATTCTAGTATAATAAGTGCATGCATTGTAATGATTCAAGTACAAGATTTTACTAAATAATAATAATTATTATAAATGAATCTTCTTTGAAAGTCAAGTGCCAGTTTATAATATAAAATGGTTCATTGAATAATCTGTTGATAAGCTGATTAAAAATAATATGTTGATAAACTAGGTGCAGTGCTTATTACAAATTTTTATTTTTAAAAAAAGTCAGACCGCTGCTAGAAATAGGTGCGGTGTGAAAACGATGTTTTCAGCGTTTTGAAAACGCATAAGCTGCCAAAATGCAGTTTACCCAAACAGGTCAGGTGCGTTTTTAAAACGCCACCGCACCAAATAAACTGCCCCAAACGGGCCCTAAACATGTTTGTTATTAGATTACAAGTTATCTGCTAAGATGTCAACTCACCCTACCATTATAATTTATTTATTTTTAGATGCACAAAAATCATGGGATGAGGAGTGACAAGAGGTCTTGTTCAATGTTCGATTTATATAACAAATAAATACAGTGTATGAGAAACTTTATGAATACTGTAAAAGGATGCGCTCAAAGTATTTTTAATAAGTTCTAATTTATATAATTTCCCTCGGTTCATGTGTTCATTCAATCAAAACAGTTGGTCACTAGTCCCATGAGATTAACTAGATTGAGGGCCAGGGATGTGACATTGGCACACCCACAAAGAAACTTAAAATCTTATTTTATTAAATGATAATATAATGACTGATTCTGAAGATCAGACAATCATTCAACTAAAATTTGATAGACGTCAAAAAAGCGATTAAATTGAACGACTATGCTAACAATGTCCGAAACAACTTATCTGAAATGATAAATTTCAAATAAAAATTTATCCAAAACAGTGATTACAATACAATTGAAGAGATCTAGCTACAAAAGTAGAAATGCAAATAGAGTACACACACACACACACATGTACTTTGGTCTATTGGTTGACATCCTCGGTGTAAGTCCCCTCTTAAGGGTTCGAATATCCTCTGACACAGTTGACCTTAAAGAGGTGGTACTCGAATTGTTAAGCAGATTAGGAATGGATGGAGGCACGTATAATAGCCTCTGGCAATTTCCTTAAAAAAATATATATGTATGTATGTATGTATGTATCAGTATTGACTATAGGTGATTTCCCTTGACATTTAATGTAACACTTTGAAATGTAAATTTGACAAAACTTTTTATGAATGCTAAAACATATCCAGCATTAATGCATCCCAAGAAGCAAAACTCTTTGCATAAATATATGATTTAAATTCCAGGCTAATAGATGCAATATATGCTGGTATTATAATCATGCAATATTGTGACCAATAATCAAAACTGAAGGAACAGCATAAAATAATGACGCATCTTTGCGACATACATACCTTGATATTCAGAAAAATCTTCAATCTGGTATTCTGATCACAAGCCTTCACCTTAATTATATCCAAGTTGCATATCTGTACTAAATCAATATTAGTGGGCAGCTTGATTTTCATCAACATGACTGCAAGTGATAAGTAACTCAGAGATGAACTGCAAAGTCACCTCTAGATGAAAGGCGGTGCATAAATGTTAGCCCAGCCAATTTGTAAAAATAGCAATTTTATTTTTCAATACCAGCCAAATTAAACCAGAAGGTTTCCTCTAGGATCGCTCCAATAACTTATATCTCTCTCATTCAGTTATCCAGAGCATTCATACAAAGCCCAGAAGGACCACTGGATGGATGTTGTAGAATTCGAAAATATCAGTGGTGGCTCTCAGACCACCCAGGTAAAGCTTACAAGAGAAGAGAAAATGGAGAAGATGACTTAGCAGTAGATTAAAAATTAGAATAGAGAGCCACCCCTTGACGATGGCCTCCCATATTTATAGTTTTGGCGATGATACACCCAAGAAGGGTTACATAAATAGCTGCAAAAAGAGAAAATCTCAGGCTGCTTGAATTACGAAACTGTGTTTGTTGGTGCAAGTGATTATGTCACAGGATCATGAGACAAGGTGATGAGAATGCATTCGCCCTACCAAATTATGGCGAGTCACTGTCTTACTAAATTAAGGTGAGTTGATGAAAGTCATTGAGTTGCCGACTTGTGCCGACTTTTGTTGACTTGTAGTCTCTTCAAATATACTAGGAACATTCATATTTTTGTCACGCGCCAGAAACATCTACATGTTTTGCTAATCCTTGGACATTTATTTAATATAAAATTAATACTTTGTCCTAATAATTCTCAGTAGCACTTTAGACTTCCATGTTCCAGATTTAGCTACACCAAGAAATGGACAAGAAAATTATATTTGATAGCTCCCATACCAATTACTTAGTCCATAGATGCAATAGATATGTCTCTCTCCCACACCCTTGCCAAGACAAACCATGTAAAACTGATCTTTCTCAGCTTCTAAAGGTTCAACAAAGTAACAAACTTTACTCTCCTTTTGATGCTCCCCACTCTATCATAACCTATACCAATCTTACTATGCACCAGCTTGATAGCCAATTCTGCATCCCCGGCCTTCCTAATTGCATTTATCATAATAGTTCGAACCTTTGCAGGGACCTCACGACCTTTATCAACAATCTCATCAGCTAGTTTACAAGCATGCTCCATCCTCCCAGCCTTGCAAAGCACCTTAATCATGTCCTCATGAGCAGTTTCAGGAACAACGCCCATGGGAGCAAGCTCGTCCAGGATCTTCATAGCCCTGTCAAACTTCCCTGAAAGACAGAGCCCAGTGGAAAGCACACGAAATGATGCAGGGGTTGGAGTTACACCCTTATCAATCATTCTACACCACAACTTCAATGCCTCCTCATTCCTGTGCTTCTTAAACAGCCCATCAATCATTATAGTGTAAGTGTAAATTGTTTGGTCACAACCCTCCCTTTCCATCCTCTCAAACATGGAGCGTGCATCATCCATCCTCCCGGCCTTGGCGAATGAATCAATGAGTGCATTGTAGCAGTATGAATCTGGCACGAAACCCTTCGTTCCCATCTCAATGAAGAGGCTCTCAGCCTTATCCACCATACCTAACTTCCCAAATCCATCAATGAGGCAAGAATAAAACATGGCATTCACCATAATTCCATTTGTGTTGCAGAACTCAAACCACTCCATTGCCTTGTCCATTTTCCCTGTTTTTGACAAGCAATTGATGAGTGCGCCATAAGTGATTTCATCAGGCTTAAATCCATCATCTTTCATCTTCTGTAAGAGTCTCATAGCCTGTTCCTCATCCCCAATCTTCGCAAAAGAATCAATCAGTGTCGTATATATAGCCACGTTTGCCCGGCAACCATTCTCAGACATTTTATCAAACACCATCCGGGCATCGAAAGGCCTCCTATCCTTGCAGAGCCCCGATATCACCAAACTATAAGCATGCGGAGGGACCTCCAGTCCCTTCTCCTCCATCTCATGATACAGAGCCAAGCAATCATAATACTCGCCACCAGCATAATGGCACTGGATTAAAATCATATAAGTTACCTTATCTGGATCCACACCATTCGCCGCCATCGCCCGGAACCTTGCCACTGCCCTATCATTTGTCCCGATCTTCAGATAGCCTTTAATCATTGTATTGTAGGAGACAACATCAGGTCGGACTCCATTACCGGCGTTGCCACTCTCCATAACCTCCAATACCTTCTCCGCAGAATCAACAAAACCCGAATTCACGAGACCGTCCATCAAGCAATTGTAACTCGTCAGGGACGGCTCCACCCCGCACTCCTTCATCCGACGCCATGTCCACAGAAGCTCCTCGACTAGGCCGAGAGATCCGAGGCATCGAAGAAGTGAGCCCGCAGCAGTGGGGGTGAGAATGAGGTCGTCCCGTTCCAAGAGCTCCGCTACGATTATTCGCGCTTCGGCGGAGGAGGATGATGGTGAGGAAGATAGGAGGTGGAGGAGGGAGATGTAGGAGTCGAGGGAGTGGACAAAGGAGGGCTGAGCGGTGGCGAAGTGAAATAGGGCGACGGCAGCAGCGGGGTGAGAGTGGAGGGACGGGTGGCGGAGGACAGCAGCGACGAAGCGAGGGGAGAAGCGGATGAGGAAAGACCGGCTGAAGGAGCGGAGGTCAGAATCAGGGGTGGGGGAAGAGACGAGGAGAGAGAGGATGCGGAGGAGCCATGGGGAGGGCTGGGGGTCGCCGTGGGAGTGGTGGGCGAGGTCTGAGATGTCCATGTAGGGTTCTATCCATTCCAATGCGGGTCGCCGGAGATGGCGAGAGCCGGTGATGGAGTGGAGGAGGGAGCGATGGATGCGATTACTCAGCATTTCATCGCAGGGTAACGGGTCGGCAGATTATGAGCAGGTTACATTCATTATTCATCGTTTATTATAAAAATTTAAAATACAAATTTTTATTTTTATTTAGTAGAAAGTTTTGTGCATATTCTTCATGTTTTATCGATTCGTTAATTTTTACAACTTAAAAATTAGCTTTGATAGGCTGCACGTGTGGGGTCACTTGTTGTTAGGTGTGGCTCATATATCAAAATTTAGAGTCTCTTTGAGTGAAGAGATGTGTATCTTGGAGATAAGAGGGTTAAGAAAGTGAGGGTGTGTTAGTAATTTTATCTGTTAATTTTATTTATATTTATGATTTTTAACCCTATGGGTATGTATTGGACTCCTCTGAAATAGTGAAAGTCATCGCTCTGCTCCCAAGGACGTAAGTATCTTTGTCGAATCTCGTTAAATCTCTGTATTCTTTCGGATTTGTGTCGATTACTATTTTTCTTTGCCCTAATTTCTCAACAATTGGTATAAGAGTGAGGTTAATAAAGATTTTGGCGCAGAAATGAGGAGTTCGACAAAGCTCGCGAGCTGGAGGAGACGGTTGCAATTTGTGGTAGTTTCTAGGGATCGCGAGCGGTGGGGTAGTTTCGCAAAGTGTTTGACAGGATCGATTCGGTGGAATGAAGACAAACGTCGGCGAGATAGACAAAGGTGAATCGTGGGCATCACTGTCGCGGTAGGAGTTCAAGTTCGTGCAGATTTGATCGCGACAGAGGAATCGCTGTGTTTACAGTTTGGAGGAGTTCGCGGTTTTCAGCAAGGTCGCAAGGCGTTCGGCGCAGGGGAGTTGACGAACTGGGGAAGGGCTTCGCTGAAATTTGGTTCGCAGCACACGATAGGAGTTCAGAGTTTGGCTTCAACGGAGGCTTCAGTTCGGATACACGGCTTTCAGGAGGTTCGCAGGAGCTCGGCGACACAGGCGAATTCAGGAAAGGAGATTCGGAGGTTCGCGATCAGGATCTGCGAGTGCGACAGGAGGCTTTGCACGACTTCAGCAAGCGGATTCGCGCGACCTAAGGTTCGCGGCAAGAAGTTTGCGCGAGAGGTCTTCTTCCACTTAGCGCAAGAGGGCTCTAGCGACAGGAGAAGAGGCAGTCGAGTGGTTCACCAGTTTCGCAAAGAATATGAGTTTGCGTGCAGTTACCGTGAACAGGAGCATCGTTTTGCGAACAAAGGAGTTCAGCCAGCGGTTTCGTGGAGTTCGCAAGTTCGTCGCAGGAGAGCTTGCGACAAGTGGAGTTCAGGCGAAGCGAGCAAGCGCGACTATTCTTGAATAGTGGTTTCGCCGAGGTATTTCGTGAGCAGGCACGATTTGTTTTGCCAACAGGCGAAGGTTTCGGCTTGCGAGACAATAGTTTAACCGAGGTGTTGACGTGAACAGGAAAATGGCTTCGGGCAAAAAATCTGATTCGTGAATCACGGGAGAATTGGGAAAAATTGTTGCAATTGACAGAGAAAATTTCATGTTTCTTTGAATTTATTTGCGGTGTGTTTTTGTTTTCGACACAAGGCAGAGGCAGGAAATGTTCGCTGCGGGATTAATTTCAAATAGGAATGTATGGTGCAGAATTCGAGATAGTGAAATTCGATGGAACCGTGAACTTTGGATTGTGACAAATAATAGTGAAAGATTTGTTGTCACAATAAGGAATTTTGAAGGCTTTGCGAGCTATAAAACCTAATAATATGAAAGATGAAGATTTAAAAGAATTGCAACTACAAGAGGCATGTACCATACGTTTATGTCTGGCATATGAGATTATGTATCATTTTATGAATCTGAAATCTCAATGAGAAGTATGGAAGAAATTAGAATCTCAGTTTATGTCCAAATCTCTAACAAATAAATTGTATCTAAAACAAAGACTGCATGGGCTGAAGATGCAGGAAGACACTGATCTGGCGCAACATTTGAATGTCTTCAATCAAATAATCACAGAGATGACACGGCTTGATGTGAGTATTAAGGATGAAGACCGAACAATGATTCTGTTGTGTTCATTGTCTTCCTTCTATGGACATCTGGTGACTACTCTTACATATGGGAAAGGAACAACCAAAATTGATGAGATAACTACAGTATTGTTAGCTCACAACCAGCTGAAGTAGAATGCGGGGGAAAACTCTCATGGTAATTGTTTATATGTTAAGGGTAATAAAGATTGTGGAAGGAAGGAGGAGAGGGAGAGTTCTTGAATGCGATTTTTCAGGTCAAAGCCTAAAAACACAAAGACGATTCATTGCTACAAGTGCAAGGAGTCGGGACATATGAAGAGAGATTGTCCAAAGCTCAAGAAGCAGTTTGATGAAAAACATGATGTACCTTCCAAGTCCATGAATATGGTACAGAGTGACATTACAGATTACGATGGTGATGCACTTTCAGTTACAACAACTCAGTTGAAGGATGCATAGATTCTTGATTTAGGATGCTCTTATCACATAACACCTAATAGGGAATGGTTTACTTCATACAAGTTATCTGATTATGGTTCAGTCTATTTGGGTGATGATAAATGTTACAATATTGTTGGTATTGGCAAAGTCAGAATTAAAATGCATGATGACACTGTCAGAACATTATGTGATGTAAGACATATTCCAGATTTGAAGAAGAATTTAATTTCCTTGGGCACTTTACACAGAAATGATTTTATTCCTAAGGCAGATGAGAATAGATAAAACATCAGAATTGTTAAAGGTGCATTGATGTAATGAAAGGAAAGATCCTGCGGGTAATATCTATAAATTGTTGGGGAGTATATTTGTAGGTGGAGTTCACTTTGTTGAATCATATGATGAAATTGCAGCATATATGTTGACCAAACCAGATAATATTAATAAGTTATTGCATTGCTTGAATTTGTTAAATCTTTGCAATTGTTAGACAACATGGTTGTCCAACCCACTTTGGTGTAAGAAACTCAATGATTTATTTCTCCTAAGGGGAGTGGAAGAAACTCCATGATTTATTTCTCCTAAGGGGCAGGATATTTGCCAAGTTGGAGATTTCTCAGGTATATGTATTTCTCCTAAGAGGCTGGATATTTGCCAAGGTGGACATTTGTCAGGTATATGCAAGTGTTGGATATTCGTCAATGTGGAGATTTGTCAGGTATATGTATTTCTCCTAAGGGGCTGGATATTCCCCAAGGTGGAGATTTGTTACTCCTAAGGGGCTGGATATTCGCCAACGTGAAGATTTGTTAAATAAGACTCATATACCATAATTTGGAGTCTCTTGGAGTGAATAAATGTGTCTCTTGGAGTGAAGAGATGTGTCTCTTAGAGAGAAGAGGTGTGTATATTTGAGATAAGTGGGTTGGGGGAGCGATGGCGTATTTGTAATTTTATGATGTGTAACCCTATGGGTTTATACTGGACTCTTCTAAAATAATGAAATTCACTGCTCTGCTCCCGAGGACGTAGACATCTTTGTCGAACCTCGTTAAATTTGTGTGTTCTTTTGGATTTGTGTTGATTCCTGTTTTTATTCGTGCTAATTTCTCAACACTTGTTATATTCTGAGAACATGCACATGTTATATTTTCTCCCATCATTGTATAGAAGTAGTGTTGCAACCAGAAGCTAGGTCGAGAGCTTAGAAAGGATGTAAAGGTTTGTTGCAATCACCCACCGCTGACGTGTATGACAATGTGACTGCGGGTGATTGGTCGTGCGGACATGCGGTGTCCAGACGGAATATTTTCTCTGGCTAGAGAGCTCAACCGAGCGGTTCGCTTAGTTAAAGCAGGCAGAGGGTAAACTAAATTAAATTATGAAATGATATTTTTTATTAACTATTATATTAGGATAGTAAATCATAATTAATTTAGGGTCTGTTTGGGGCAGCTGCAACTTATTGACAATCTGTTGATAAGTAGATGATTTAAATAAGATGTTGATCTGAATAATTTGGTTGGTTGATTGGTTCATGTTATTGGAAAACAACTGATTTGCAGCTGATTGTGGATAAAGGATCAGTCTGCCCCGTTGACCTCACTTTTGGGTGAGTGTTTTGAGTCTTTCCTTTAGTAACTAGGATCCAGCCTTAGAACTTTCCTAATGACTATTTTAGCATCTTAAAAATGGTACACACTTTCTCCTTAGACATTTCAACAAATCTCTGTTTTCTATGTTGCTTCTATATGTGATGAATAATCTTTAATACAAATATTAGAGATTACATAAGAAAACCCTGATAAGAATTCCTATAGGACCTATGGACCAAAAGAAAACCTTGCATTATTCTACACCTTTTTGGACTTCAGTACATTGCATCATCATTCAATCATCATGATCATCATAAACATTGCATTTTCATATCACAATATTGCAATCATTACACTCATGAGGCTGACCAAAATTATGACCAAAATTTGAGGCTGACCAAAATTATTTGAACCCAGTTTCCCCGAAAATACCTCACTTTAATATTTTAATTCATTCAAAATTTCTCAAAACTGTCATTGAATCACAAAACTCGCTTCAAATCATTTGATACTATCATTTAGACTATTTGAAACCCAAAAATTGCAAAAATACCTAATTTTCTAAAAAAAAAATACCAAAATACCCCTGGACCCCCAAAATATCAAAATTTCCAAAATCTCCCAAAGTCACCGATAAGTCATAAAAATCACACAAAGTCATTCCTTATGTCTTCCTGAGATTTTGACTGTAATGTTGTCATACTTTCAAACAACTGTTTGACACATTGACACCAAAATAACGAATGCTTAAAAAATACTTTGAGGATCAAAAAACCTTCCACATTGGTCGAAAATGACCCCGTATATTGTCGTTTGACTCCAAATTTCTTCATAAACTACCTCGAGCCTTTAAATCAACCTTTTAACTATTTTGTCTGAAATTTGTCAAAATTACCAAAATGCCCCTCATGACCCAAAAATTTTCAAATCATCCAAAATCATTTCAAACACCCCTAAATCAATTCTTGATCATTCATTGAGTCAAATTTTTTACCAAATTCACTCACTTTG